CAAGGAAGAAATTTCCAAAGTGATCCAAATTAGGCAACTCTCCCCAATATTCAATTAGGCTGGTATGAAAAACATAAATAATGGAAAATATTTATTATTGCATACAAGTATGCAATAATTAATTATGGTTTAATATTAATACGTTATAGTATGTTTTTTTTTAACTTCGGTGTGTTGCTGAGAAAGTTATTAGTTTTACTGTGCCGTGTTTTTTTTTGTGTAAGTAGACACGATTACTACGCACCTCTAACGATCTCAAAGTGGATCGATTTTGCTTAAAAACCATATCAATTCTTTTTCTCATTAAATATTAATTGATTTTTTTAATTTACATCAAATTAGAGCTAGTACGATGTACTAGCTCATACATCAAATACAAGAAGAAAAACTATCCGAAAACATTATTTTTAAAAATGATTGGCCAATTAATCCAAAAATCTTATAACTTTCAGTAAAAGTAGCCGATTATGAAATATTTTACATAGCAACGGTTCCTCATTAAAAACTAAATCAAATTGAATGCTTTTTGAGTTATAAATTATTTAAAAAAGAAAGACGTTTTGACGACTTGTCTTCTATGCGTAATTTTTGGTTGATACGTTAATTTTTTTTAATTTGTTCCAAATATACATCTAAGAGTTTTACAAAAGTGATTTTAATCAATGTTAGATATCAAACAATACTAGTCTATAAAATGCCACAACCACTGTGACACTATCATGTTAAACCAAATTTGTAACTGATAAGATTAAGAAGAGCATTCTAGTGCTGCATCTATTTAACTCTATATTGATATTTTTATCATAGGAGGCCACTACAATTATTTTTACTCAAAATACCACTATACGCTTGAGCTTATCTGCTAGATTTAGTCACATAATCTTCAACTCTAGGCTGAAAGGTAAAACCTATAAGACTGTAGTGAGCCCAGCTATAATGTATGATTCAGAGTGTTGAGTGGTTGACAAGAAAATAGAGCAGATAATGAATGTAGCAGAGATGAGAATGCTTAGATAGATGAGTGGAGTGACTAGAAAAGGTAGGATAATGAACGAGCATATAAGAGGGAGTATTGGTATAGCGTAAATCGTGAATAAGATAAGAGAAAATAGACTGGTATGGTCATGTTGTGAGGAGAGAGGAATCGGAAACTGTAAGAACAGTTATGGAAATGAATGTTGAAGGAAGAAGAGTTAGAAGAAGACCAAAAAAAAAGGTGGAGGGATGTTATTGAATGCGATATGAGGACAGCTGATGTGAGCATGGATAATGTGGGAGATCGTGTCAAGTGGAAGTTTAGGATAAGGGTGGTCGAATCCAAGTAATTGGAATTAAGGCGAGGAAAAAGAAGATGAATCTTCAACTCTACTTCACTTGATTTCGATAGTACTTATTTTTTTTATTAACATATTATAATTTGAAAATATATGCTCTATGCCATTTAACCACTTAGAAGTTTAAATAACCTTAAAAATATATAAAATTACAAAACAGCATTTTCAATTGAATAAATGAATATTTATTAAAAATAAAGTAAAATTTAATACTAAATAAGTCTGAAACGCATACCGTGTTTCAAACACAAAATATTACACGCAAAATATGTGTGAACATAACAAATAATAAAAATGCATAAATAGCATAAAAAAAATTTACTTCAAAATGTGAAATTATTAAAAAAACAGGCATATACAATTTACAAAATATTGTCTTAAGTAAAATAATAATTTATTCAAGAATGACTTATTTTTATCAGTTGTTTTTATGATGTAGTAATTTTAAATAAAATTTATTTATACACAAATTTTGTCATATTTTATAATTCTCCAATTTTCTTGACTATAAGTGTACATGATAACATATTTTTTCAATTTTTTTTTGAAATATAGTATAACAATTTTTTATAATTAAATATATATGTTGAAAGTCTAAATAAGGCCTCGGATTTCAATACACATTACATTTTTTAGAATTATCTTAGACTATGCCTCCATACACAAAATTCGATTTATGAATAGAAGAATTTAAAATTATAATTTTTATTTCTTAAATTTTATGGAATTCTTGCAATTATATATATATATATATATATATATATAACACTTTTGAGAATATAATTAAACAAACATTAATTACTTTTATTTAAATTTTGTTAATTAAAATTATATTCGATGGAGAGACGAACATTTTTTTTAAATGTATATATTACTTATTAAGGTTATTTATTAAATTTTTCAATAAATTTTATTGGTTAATCTAGAGGGCTTAGCTCCCCAAAAGTTATTTAAATACGTAACATTTTTTAATGAAATATTTTAAAAATAAAAAAAATTATGTTGACATCCTAAATATTTTATTTAAATTGTTCTTATAAAAATATTATGTTTATAATACTGTGATTAAAATTTACAATACTCTTTTAAGAATTAATATTCTTAATATAAAATCTAATAAATGTAGCAATAAATATAAAAAAATTGTATAGCATTTTTTTTGTTTTTGTATTTTTATAGAGCACAAATTAATATTATACGTGTCTAATTTTTTTAGAGCTATGCTAAACTTTTAAGATATTTTTTTAGAGGAAGTGTAAAAGTTTTAAGGGAATTTAATTCTGACCTTTATTTGTAATAAAATGAAAACAGTATACTTCTTAAATGATCGTTTTGACTATTCGTAAGTATAATTTATGTATGACTAGCGTAAACATACCATTATTAGGGTTTTTTGTTTTTATCTATAAGTTAATTTTCTACTATTCATTAAAAATCTTATTTATATATTTCCGAACTAAAAAGTTTTAAAAGCACTTAACTAAAAATATTAAACAAATAATATAATAACCCTTGTGTTGTAAATATTTGCTTAAGACAAGTATTGCAGGTAATACTTATTTTTGAGTTTACTAAAAAAAGGATTTTTGAAATTTATAGTGTCAATTTCATCAAAGTATGGCATAAATAAAACCTGAGTCGTCTTTTATGATCATCAGAAATTGTTTAAATGTCTAGTTAATATAATATAAGTTAGTATGTTATCAATTCTTGTTTATAAACATCGGCTATCATAGTATTTTTTAGAAGGGACGAATAAATTTTGTCAATTTTCGATGTTTAATTTAATTACTAAAAAACCTAAGGAAGATCAAACTTCTATGAAATTACTACTATTAGTTAATACATTAAAAAAAAAAAATCATTTTATACAATATAATTTTTTTTTAATCTACGTAGAAATTGATTACGAGTATAATTCAATATTTATATCAATTAATTTAAACAATATAAATAATAAATATTAACTTGTTCATGATATTACATGGTGTATCATATTTCTTGGCAAAAATGCTTAGATAGACCTTAAAAAGAAAACACTATGTCGTAGTAAAAGCCGACAACAGACATAGCTAAAACGAAAACATTATGGTACCGTAACTAACGAATCTTAGAGAAGTGATAGTTCCAATACAAATTATTTATACAATACTAATAAATAATTTTGAATAAAATAAATACAATAAACGTATAAGAAAAAAATATTAACTTATATATTAAAAATAATAATAATAAATTTTTTTTTTGTAAATTTTAAAACTTAATAAAATATTATATTTAAAATTTAATTAATTTTAATTTGTTATCGAAAACTAAAAAGTTAAACATTATTTTCATGTAAGTACTCTATATTATTACCAGTGGAGTAATTTTGGCGGAGTGGTAATATCATCCAGAAAATGAAAAAAAAAAAAGATAAAGAAGGTACGATTTATTTTGTTTTGGAGTTATAGAAAAATTTTCTTCCTTTCTATATAAAATTATATTATAATATAATAATATGTTATGATTAAAGTATTATTCTTATACAAATTTTATAAAAAAATTAAAACATCTATAATACATTTTTTATTTGAAAATTTTGGTTTTCTTAAAACCAAAATTATTAAAAAAATAATTATATGAAATAATTATTCTTAGTGTAATTCAGGACAAAATTTTTTTTTTATAGAGACTAAAAAATCTTAAAACATTACTGTTGTTATGTTAAGTTGTATAATTGAAATGAGCAGTTGTTTTCTGTGTTTCTCGTGAAAGAAAACTGCAGCAGCATCCAAGGAAACTTCTTGAGATATAATGTAGAAAACACATACCTATAATAGCTGTATAATAAGGTACATATCTCTCTGGAACCAGATCGCATTTTTTCTACTGCGGAACGTCGAAAACCGTTACCCCCCGCCTTTCATTTCTCATCATGACCACAGACGCGTCAGCCGCCTTCGCCTCCTACTCCTGCAGCGACCCCACCGGCGCACGATCGACTTGGGACTGTTCGGGCGGTGATGAACTTGGTGAAATTTCCGGTTAACCGTCTGTTACACACATATAAACATATGCGCACAATCAGGATTCCTATATGTTTTGTACCTGTAAACCAATGGTCACAACTAACTATTAAAAAAATAGCAATAATACTGTTATAAGATACTATAAGAAAGTAATATTATCTAATTTAAATTATTTGTTTTGGATTTAAATAACGCATATAGTGAAAGTATTAAATTTGAACAATTGATATATTAATTTTATGAATAACAATGGCAAAATTTAGTTTCGTAGTTTGGCACTATTATTTAATTATACATTCATATATATTATTTATTCATACATACCGAGTATTTCAATTATCGTTGATTTTGTTAATTATAAGCAAATATTGAAAAAATATCTACATATAATTTTGATCTTTCAAAATTGTTTAATTCCGATTTTACTTGAAATGTGTAATAGTGGTTTTTTATTAAAATTTAATGAATACAAATTACGGTATACATATCTTCAACAATAAAAATATTTTATTTTATGTTTAATATTATACTACAATAATGACAATCGGTATATTTGTAGTGGTACCACTGTGTCGCGTGTATGTATATGTGTTACGGCGGCGGCATGGCCGTCCGTTTCCTAACTGAAAACAATGGCGGCAGTCGTATGACGCGTTTCGTTCTTGTATGACCGTGCGCTCTTTCGTCTTCGCGGTACGCATATATTCTCTTAACTTGGTTATTTTTATATTGCTTTATTTCGTTGTAATTATAGTTTGTAATTCGTTGGTCAACTGTGTACGTAGTTGAACATTTTATAATTGAACATGATCTATCGCTGTCGTAATCGATGGCATAACCGGCCTATGGTAGTTTGATTTGTAATTATTGTCTTAGCTAACTGTCTCAATCCAATTTTTGATATAGTGTACATTTTAATTCATCATCTCCAAAGGATCTTGAAATTTAGAGGAATTTTAATCATGATAGTAACTTAAAGTAAGGTTTATTTAATTTAAAAAATTGGTGATGAAAAATAATAGTAGTAAATATGACCATATTCGTTTTAATTATATTTTCATCATAATTCAATTTATTTTAAATTATATTTATTTATTGAAGTTGATATAAATTTAATGTGACTTCTTTATATCAACAAGACTTGTCAAACATTTTTATAATTGCTATTAGGTTAATTACCTAAATAATGTTTCTATTTTGCCAGATATCCAAATATAAAATTCCTTTCGCATTTAACTTGATTTAACTATTATAATTTATTTTAAAATATATTAATATTATGAAATGAGAGGTTTCGGTATCAATCAAATTATTAGAATTCTTATCATTTTACTGATAAATTTTATTCACAAACTTTCACCAGATAATAGAAATTAATGTTATACAAAAATATGAAATTATCAGCAAATTTTTCTTTTAAATAAAATGTTTCATGCATAAGTTATTAAATTTAAAATTTTCAATGTTTTTTTAACATGGAATGATAGGACATCATTCGGTGTTAACATGTTTTCCTGTTAATATTTTGATTATTTTTTATGATATATTAGTGTTTTGTTATTGGTTCATCATGATTGTTTTGTTTACTTCTAGTACACATGTAAGTTGCTGATTAAATCTATACCACTAAACTGGCGAGCTACCATCTGAATTGCGGTCCTGAAGGATTGGACCAAGGTGCATTATTAGGGGGCGGCTGTGGTGTGTTGCAACAACAATCCGCCGCCCCCGGTATGGCTGATGTCGTTGTTCATAAACGACAAGCAGTGATTGACCGTTTAAAACGACGAATGGAAGGGTATCGAAGGCATAATCAGGACTGTGTTCCACGGTACAACAATGCATTTGTTGAACAACAAAATGTTCAGGAAACTTTAATGCTTAAACAGAAATATATGGAAACTAAAAGCAAGAGGAATGTAAAAAAAAATGATAAAAAACCCCTAGAAAATGGCAATGCTATGCTGGTGAGTTCCTTTTATTATCTTAATTAGCCAAAAAATTGTCTATTTTATCATGTTTATAAGATATAATACAATTTTTTATAAATAAATCATTGACTTTTAAATTAATAGATTGTGAGCTTAGAGTGTTAGACCCGAGAATAAAGTGGTTGCAGAAGGAAGAGCTTCTGACCAAACTATGTTTTTTCTCTTTCACTATATCATCCTCATGGATAATGAGTACGGTGGCATGATAATGATAAGCAAGTTCTATTCATTAGTTTATAGGATTGATGAATGTATTCTGATGCATTATCATTCTAAGTATAATGATAATTTTCTGTTTGTTGTTTCTTCAATCAATTTAATATTGTAAAATTTTGAAAAGATAACTTGAAACAGTATTATTATTATTTTTAATGTTCTTTATCTAAGTATTCATATTCTTTAAATATTCTCTTAATTAAAATTAATATATTACAGTGTAAAAAACAATATAACATATTTAAAATTTTATCAGCAAATGTTTACTGAGTGTTTTTTTTTTGCATTCAAGTAAACTTAAAAATCATAAAAATAGATACATGCAAAGTTAGTTAAAGGAAACAGTGTTTAATATGGTTTCTAAAAACAGTATAATTTTTAGATACCATACATAATAATTTGTTTTAGAAATAATGAATGGCCTGCATGAGATAAAATTAGTTTGATCCTGTAGGCATAATGCCTAAAATTAAAATTAATAAATTTTACAGAATTATTAATTATGTGTTCCAGTTGTTGAAAAATATAATTAATATAATAATTATTATTACTGACTACAGGGCGTTTACATGTACAACAAATGGTTAAAATAGTATGAGAGAGAGAGATACTGTAATGTTGCAATGTTTAGTGGCCGTGAAACAAATTCAGAGCAAATTCGCTTGTTTTGTGATATAGTTTATAAAGGTTTTCTGTTAACTTGTAGTTTTAATAATATTTTATTTATTCTAATTAAATATATATTGAATGTTTTTCAATTAATTAGCAACAATCAGAGACTAATTTGTTTCGTAAGAATATATGCATTTCTGTAATGGAAACTAATTAATAGCTTATATTTAGCACTTGTCAATCTTGTTCATTGTCTATTTTCTAAAAGCGTTGTTTCTATTTTTTATCGTTTAATAGTATGAAGTCTAACCGGTAAAATGCAAAAAATTGTTTTGAAAATGTATATTAAGAACTGAGTTTGCAACTCTATGCATCGGCGCGACGACAGTGCATTTCATATGATGGACGACGATGGCCCAGTTATGATAACAATAATGTATTATGTATGTGTATAATATCTCCTCCCGCGAGAACGCTAGAGCAACATGGTCCCGTACAGTTATTCTTATCGGTGAAAGGAAAAAAGTATTATTTTATACGCTTGAACGAAATAACTTGAATAGAATATATAAGAAAATACAAGTTTATATTTTCGATGAAATACATTACAGTATTTTTTATGTTTGCGGGACATAGAATCATTTTTAAGTACATTCGAAGTGTTCATTTTTGCATTTGTGTATTTAGATGTCAGATTGTAAACTATTAGTTGTAATATTGTTACAAACTTGTACTCTTCACTCCCATTTTCCTCTCTTGTTGAGCAATTTTACACGACAGTGTACGGTCTGTGCGTAATTCAAAATTTTTTTAAAATAGACATACAAAAAATACATTTATTGTAACAAAAAATTCTTACATAAGATTGTATTTGTTGAATGATTTACAAAAAAAATTGTCGTATATGAACAAATACTAAGAACGTATGTATTTAATTTCATGATGTATTGTGGTTCTGAAATATAGACTTTTATCAGCTGTAGTAATGGATTTTGCCCTTGAGCCTAGTCGCTCCGCCTGTGATGGACATAAAAGCAATTAGACATTAACTGTTAATCAAATATATGCATGTTTTTGAAAAGCATTATTGTTATTACCAACAAATTGAAAAAAAAAAACACTGAGACTTATTTGAATGATTGAAATATTGTGTAGTTTTAATAATAATTTTTTAAAGTCCGATTTGTAATAAGTTGTTGTTTTCTGGGTTCACTACAAAACCGGGCAACTCTTGTGGTTAACGTATAGATAGCGTTTAGCTCGCTAAAATGTCACGATTTCCCGAAAACTTTTCGTCGTTGATTAAAATTTAATTTTTCTTTCAATATCCTCTACTTTATTCACATTTACAAAAATTATACGCAATGATACAAGTTATGGTATTTATTTTTAGACGACGGTAAATTAGAGATATATTTTATTGCAGTCCTCTTTAGTGGTTTTAATGTAATTATAATAATACAGCGTTTTTTGTCATTCTGTATTATATTGAATATAAATGCATACATTTTATATAAATGAATCTTGTAACAAATTTATCACAATGCAAAACTTATTTTTCAATATTTATACCTATGAAATTAATTAAGACTTTTTTGGCATCAGTTTCTTGGGCAATGACGGACCACGAATAGTGTTAAAGTAACCGGTTGAACGTCCGCAACTAGTACCGCCGTTGCGATCCCGTTGCTCGCGCTGTTGACATGTGCCCTGGCGGTGCTGTAATCGGTTCGTAAAACCGACGGCACACGACGGCGGTGTGTGGGAACGCGTTGACGCGCGCGCCAGTGGACGAGTGCGGTGGCCGTCGATCTCTTTATGGCGTTGCAATGGTAATTGAAGAGGATGAAAGGATACTGGTGGCGGTGTGTGGTGCACCCACGCGCGGCCGTCGTACGCTAGCTAGTCAATCGCGTATATGTATACATACACAGGTCACGGATTCTAAGATGGCTGGTAATCGGGTTACTATTACAAGTTTTGTATTTATACGTTACTGATACATAATGTATTCTTTGGTATTTGTATCTTAATTTAAAGAAAGAATGTTGTAAAAGTACAATTATTTAGCTGAGTACATAAACGGGGCAACAGGTTGCAACTTATTAAAAAATGTTTTCACGCCAAACAAAACAACTGAGACGTACGTACTTGAGGTAATGGAACTATTACGATTACTTTTGGTCATTGACATAATGTGGAATAGCTTCATGCATAATTACTATTTTTATCGTCAGATTTAAATTGCCTAATCGCGTAGTAACACTGTCGATATCTTACGAACGAAATTTCTTTAAGAAGGATTAGAGGGGGTCCCATTAAACTGTGTGTCTTTGCCCTTTTCAAAACTCACCAACGAGTAAAATGGTCACACTATTAAGCCGATACGCTTAAGTTATGCAATCAGATTAGAATAAAAACAATACTAGCCAATACGGGCAATTTTATCCATAGTTTTTCAATAATATCTCAATTACATAATGGTTTTAAATAATGTTTTATTTATACGTTTGTACACTATAATTTGATTTTGATATAAGAGAAATTATCAATGTTTACTTATTAAAGTAAAAGACATTTTTTATTCTTTTAAGAGTTGGATTTAGTTGAGGAAAATTGATTTATAAGGCACTATTATTGATTGATTTTAAATTAATTCTTATTATTAACGTCTGTTGCATTTTGTATGTAGTATTGAGGTATCTTGAGAATTTTAACCTGTTAATAAAGTACATGGATTCTGCATGTTATGTTATTATTTGTTCTAATGTTCACAGTAAATTGATTTAAATTTGCTTATTAATAGGATTACTGTGGAGTAATATAATTCGCAGTTAAAGAGGATTCTTTAAATTATAAAATATGGTATAATTACATAATTGCGAGTTGGTTTTTTACTATCTGTAAGTGCGCGACATTTTAATACCTTGACATCATTGTGCAAATTTCTACTGGCGTATTTTATGATTTAAACACAAGTCTGTTGCGACAATATTAATATTGTTTAGGTAACGTTATTATATTTATAGGCGAAAATACGAGTTTTAAGGATTTAAATTTGAATCTTTAATGCTCAATATACTTGTTTATGATTAATCAGACTAATGATATTATCTAACTCGGTACATGTGAGTTGAGTCGAGGGTGTTTAACCCTCTGGATTATTCGCATACGACGACGGCGCGACGGAACCGAGCTATTACTGGTGGGTGGCAGCGATGAACGTACGGAGTAGGTGATGCGGCATCGAATCGATACCGATCTCTCATTCTATACCATAACCTCCTCCCTCTTTCGCCGGTGTCGTCACTGCCGCCGCCGACCGACAGCGGTTCGTTCATCGGTGGCTGGTGCATACCGTCACCAACAGCCGTCGCCGTTGTCGAAGTACTTTTCCAACGTTACTCTTTTGCGTCTTGATTTTAAAATACGCTATTCAACGGCGCACTTTGAAGACTCCCGCAGGTTACCTTTTCTTATTCTTATGAATCTCTGCAATGCACATCTGTATTGTGTATTTTCTCCATATCTCACAATTTTACTCTTCTTTTTAGATATCAGTAATTTTATTTTTCGACTCTATTAAGTTAACCCTTTTAATCGAATTCTAATAAGTTTGGAAGTAATATAATTGAGACGGGATTAATTTCATGATAGTTATAACTATTTTTTAAACATTAATTTTTTGTTAATGAAAAATTATTCTTACAGTATAATTATTATACTGAAACAATAATTTTACAAGTATTATACGTGTATTTATAAAACAATTTATTTGGAGTAAAATTTTTTTCTTGCAAGCAATACCTTACTTTATCTAGTGGTTATCTGACCCTAATAACAATCAAATAAATACGTATTCATATTTTATTGGTTAGTTCATTTTTGTAATATACCCATAATTTTCAATTACGATACGAGTGTTTCTTAACAGAAAAATATTGTCGTTAATTCTCATATATTTCTCAATGTTTTAGAGTATATATATAATTTGTATTGTACGTTGTATCGTTATAATAACCAATTATAAACATTTCTTTGACATTTTTGCGAGGGGCTTAGTAAATTTCCGGTGTATGTTTGGGATGCCAACATTGACAATAAGTTTTGTACCTGTAGTAGTCGCTAGTGTATTGTTAATACGATCAACTGTTTTAGAAATCATAGCGCTCTTTAATTTTTGTCGGTTGTCGCGTTTCTTCATTGTGAATCTAGTTCGTATTCGATGTAATGTACAATGTGTGCAAGACCTTGAACTTGTGTTCACCCTAAAACTGTAGCATGCATAATCGAATAAGCATTGCTATGTCCGGTTTAACTTTATAATAATTTTTAGTTTTCATGTAATATCCAATGTTGCCACAATTAAATTTTATGTAATTAATAATAAAATTTTAATTAGGCTGGTTAGTTAGTCTTATAGCTATTTATATATGAGAAATAATGTTTATAAACATTATAGTTTTGAAATGTTTTCAGTACTATGAAAATCTCAAAATAGTCACTAAAATGAGCCATAACCTGAGTTATTATTTTTGCATTTAGTTTGTTCAGTTATTATGTGGCACTTTATGCAGTTTATGGGTTTATTTTATTATGATAGTTTTTGTTATCAAATACCATAGTTAAAGATATTAAATTTTTTTTTTCATATTATTTAAATTTCTATAAAATATAAGTTATTTGGTAGTTATTTAAAATTATTTGCGGATAAAATCATTTAAAATAAATTTGTAGTAGTAAACACTGGTAGATTAGTGGTTTTCGAATTTTTTTGGTGGTGCATTTAATACTAAATTTAGTCGCAATGTCCTCCTGTTAAAAGGGGTACCGGGATGCACAGCTTGAGAACATCTCAAGATTGATCTTTTTTTTTATTGGCATTATTTCTTATGTTTACGAGAATTTTCGTTTATTATAGTTTGAAACTGATTTTAGGCATAAAATCACGATCTTAACATTTAATCATAAATACTATGATTTTTTCTTTTAGAAATATTTTACCATATTCCGTTTTACTGATAAGGACGACGAATAATTAATTGTTGTTTATAATTTTAATCAGTGGCGTATTTAGTGGGGGCACCGGGGCACGTGCTCCCACCCCTATCGACTGAGCCATGTTAATATTTTATCAAGCAATGTAATAAAATATTGAGTTTGTAATTAATATCAATTGAAAAAACTTCGACTTCTTTTGTTATTATCGATACTAACATGTGTTTATCAAATGTTGATTGATATAGTTGTTTTATGGAGTACAATTTATTGCCTCGTAGATGCCCCAAAAACGTTATCATTTATTTCTAACAAATACGTTGAATTATTAATTTTTTAAGTGTTTAATGCGTATAGAAGTACGCCAATATTTTTTACGTTAATTATTATATGCCTATTTTTAATTATTAAAAATGGATTCAAAAAGATCTAAACAAAAAATAGTTGATTTTTTAATTTCAAATTTAATTTATTAATTTTGTTTTATTTATGCTATTTTACCACTATTTTTTTGAAAAAAAAACTTGGCATGTGTTTCAAGTATATATATGATGAATTTTTAATTGTAGTTTCTGGATTTCTCTATAATAAATGAATAGTAACTTGTTAAAAGGGATTTATGTTCACATTTCCTAATTTTTTAGGAGAGAAAGAACTATTATTTTTCTATATATGGCAAAAGAGCATAAAAAATACCAGAACAAAGTTTATATTTGTCGTATTTTTTGTTTCCCTGTTTTCAAATTTTACGCAATGATCTTAATAAAAAAATTGTTGAACAAAAAAAAAGCTCCTCTAAATTTTTTGGTAGGTTGAGTTAGTTTGGTTGTTTCGTTCAAAGATAAAGTAAAAAATGTGTGTGCCCCTCCCCCGTTATAATTTTCTAAATATGCTCCTGTTTATAATTGTGCACGTTTTTTGTTAGTCTAGAAAAATTCACTGCCATGACCCGTAGTTTTGTTCGTTTACATTTCGATATATGTTGAAACTTGGCTGTCTTACATGGATAATATCCTAGTATATTATTGTTTTAAAAACATTTTATTGTATTTTTTTTATTTTTGAATTTACATTGCGACTTCTAGATTGTTTTGACATAAAAATCACGTTATGATTTAAATTGAAAGTCACCTGTCCTTGGGGGGTATATGTTATGAATTCCATTGGACTTGTTCAATATTCCATCAATAAACTATTTCCCTGTAAAAAAATAATGGGTTTTTATTTTCTAGTTAAGAAAATAGTATGAGGTATTTTACTATGAGATGATTTTTATATACTGTCAAAATTTAAAAATAAAACACTTCACTCTTAGGTGTTTATAATTTTCTAAAAGAATTAAGTGGTAATGATATATTATAATTGCAAACAATTTACGTATGTTGCGTTTAATATACATTTACGACATTGTGACCCTGGTTAGTGTATGTTGATGATCCTTGAAATCCTCTTCTACCTTTCCTCATCTCCATGACAGTTTTACCGTATTAAGCTCATTATGTGTCATTGCATTCCTCTATTTATTATTTTTCATTTTATTATTATTATTTTTATTATTCATTCATTTAATTAGTTTCGGCATCACCACAATTACAGTCATTTAAATAGTTTACATACATTTCGGTCGTATATGTATATACTTATTTGTACTGTGTGTGTATGCATGTAATAATAACGTTGTGTCAGTAGTGAGTGTCGTCGATCGCGAACAAAAAAAAATGAACGACTATGTATTTGTATATTTTATCCTACGTATCTTTATGTGTAATATTGCCGTATACGGTTGGCATCCTCCGCCTGGGGACCACCTGCGTGAGTTTTACGTTACGTCTGCTTGTTTCCTGGTAATTTAAATCGTTGTCTGTGGTAACACTGTGATCTTCGACCGGCGCAGTGCTTGCCTGTTTTGTTTTTCGGATCGGTACCACCACCGTCACACAGGATATTACACTATTCTCCGCGTTCATCGTCGCTGTCACTACATTCATTCCCGTCGTGTATACACACTTACTCTACTACTATTATACGGTTCAGACTACTTATTTTCTCCTCCTTCTCTCTTCATTGTTGTATCGTTTGCTGCACCGCGTCTGTGGTACGATTTATTATCGGCCGAAGGCTAGTGGTTCTCAAACCAATTGATAAATAAATTGAAATCCAAAATCGACCGCGATTCCATTTTCTTCCCTATCATTTTTATGTAATCAGAACGCTTAGGTTTACTGGTATTTTTACGCTTTAACCTTTGATCATTTTTTATTATATGAAAAATATATACTTTATCAATAGTGAATCTTCATGTTTATTATTTTCATGCTGATTGATGGTTTTTAGATTGTGCGATTTGTTTCTACGACTACCATTATATCATAATTAGATCTCATTGCGTACATTAAATTATTATAATGACACAATTAATTGTAATATAAGCTAGGATATTCATGTTGTCGTGTGCTTAATGCAGCCGAGTGGCTCGCAGTACCACCACTGTTGATACTATGTCGTCTCGCATGCAACTGTCACTATTGGGGTGGGGAGGGTCAAATTGTACCTTCTCACCTCTCTCACTTGTTGGTGTTCATTGGTCAATGTTTTACGGGTCAAACACCTGCTTTTTTTCATTGTACTCTCTTGCTCTACTCTGCTACCATTCCTATCACTGACGTATGGAGAGTCTCTTTGCTGCCGCGAACCACATAATATTACACGCGGATAACTATTCCCTGCGCTTGGGCTGGGCAGTGGTGCTTCATTATTGTTATCTGTCTGTGCGCGGGGGCCATTCGGGTCTCGACATGTTAGTGTAGAAGTAGTATAGTATTAAAAGAAGAAAACGACGACATACTTAGTTAAAAGAGGGGCGAAAAAATTCCATACTTGCCTATAATGTAACAATGAAACAAACATGGAAGAATTTTTTTTATTTTTAATATTATTCAATATGTTCTGATTACTGTACACCAGCCAATAAAAAAAATTCTCTAATTTAGTTAGTGCATTTATTCAGGTTTTGACTATTTTTTTTAGTAATATCCAATAACACAAATTACATTAGAAATGTACGTTCTAAGATCTTGTCTTAAATGTTATTATTTTTAAAATTTTTAAACTGAAGCATTCTGCAATGGAGTTTACAGGTCTCTTAAATTGTCTAAAAGAGAATAATATTCGCTTTAAAATAGAAATATTGTCTTACATTGTTTTAATTTTCTAGCCAAGAAATTAGATAAATTTAGGTAAATTGTGTATAAAAATTGATTTTTAATTAAATCTGTTCTTTTTTACTATTACATTGATTCAAGTCTTTTTAGTACCATAACTAGTTATAGAACATAGAGACGGGACAAAATTATGTTTATTAGGCCACGATCGGTGTTACCACCATCGCCAATGTCGTATTATTATTACACAAAACAAGTGTTTCTATAAACATGAATTGTTGCCAGCAAGCCGGCATCCAATCGATAATAATATTATCGTTGGCGTCATTAGTCTTATCGGCTTTTTTTTTTACATGTTGTGTTGTATGTATGAAAATGTGTGCGCTCAGTGATTTATTTTTACAGCGATTCTTGAGAATGCCTGTAAGTATGATGCAGCGGGTGGTAGTCCCTCGCTCGATGTATCAATATAGATGG